AAACTGCAGCTCCACATTACAGCTGTGCTGGTTCAGTGACACTGTGCCCAAACTACAGCTCCACGTTACAGCTGTGCTGGTTCAGTGACACTGTGCCCAAATTACAGCTCCACGTTACAGCTGTGCTGGTTCAGTGACACTGTGCCCAAATTACAGCTCCACATTACAGCTGTGTGCTGCTCCGTGCTCTGGGGAGCAGGAAGACCTAGGAGATATCACATCACAGCTGTTTCCAAAACCGAACTGTAGTTTGCATTGAGAATTACCAATTACGGGAGGATAAAACTCTTTAGTGGGAAGTAGAAATAATTCTTGATTAGTTGGGGTGCTGGGGGCTGTGCCCATGCATTTTTTTTGTTGTGCCATATCCATTTGCAGTCCCAGCTCTTGCAGTTGCCTTCTGCTGTGTTTGTCCCATGACAAGTTCTTTGTTTGCAGTTTGGCTTTTGGTGATGCCAAGGAATTCTTCCCGTTTATTAAATGCCTAAAACTTGACGGCACCTTGTGGCCTGTGTCTTGCACTGGAATAAGAAGCAGGAGCGGCTGATGGAATGAGCCTGCACAGGAAATTGTCCCTGGATATTGTGGTGCCAAGTGACAGGCTGTGCTTCCCAAATGCTGTCCTCATTCCTCAGCCCTGGGCTGGGGAGGCTGCCCTCCATATAACATGGAATATTGCTGGGACCAGGACAGATCTGGAATTGAAGTCTGCATCCACAATAAGGGGGGGACTTTAAACTGAGTACTGTTGTTTGTTTTAGGCTTGTTTTAGGTTTATATGTTTAGTTTTATATGTTCCAAGTGTGTTATAAACTGACACCACACTTAGAGGTGGGGTGTAAATGTTAACAGAGAGCAAGGCAAACATTAAACTCTTGTGCAATTTAAATCATGTAGATAAAATAATTGTAACCAGTTTTTTAAGTTCACCTAAGAGCACCTGAAGCTTTAAACAGAGGTTAGCTCGGCTTTGTGTGGTTTATTTCAGAGTATAAAGTTAGAAGCAGGCTGACAGTATTTTGTTTGTGTTTCTATGCAAGTTCTCTCTAAAGTGTTTCTCTCCAAGGTGTTAATGCTGGTCAGTGTTTAGAGACAGCTCTGACTTTGCTATGCTGAGTGAATCATGGCTTTGAGGGCTTCATTGGCTGCTACACAGGAAATTCTAAAAAAAAAAAAAAAAAAGAGGCTGATGATTTTTTTTTTATTTGGTGATAGCCAGCATGTTGTGTGTTTTGAGGGTTCTAAATTAGAAGTGGGAGTTCAGATTGAACTAAAAAACAGTGATTAGTTCTACAAGTCTTCAAGGATAACTAGGACTTGAAGCTTTGATTAAAAGGTGGGTATGTAAGGACAAATGATAAAAACCCTGAGATTTGCAGCTGGTTTGGAAAGTCCCAGGTAGGAAAAACTTTGTGTTTAGCAATTTAGGTAAGAAAGAAACAAGAAAGTGAGGAACTGAGTGTACTTAATGGCACTAAAATTGAGAAAAAATGGCTGTTCTGTCATTTTTAGAGGATGTATTGAGGATTTTAATGGATCATTCCACATTGTGGTGCAAGCTTTGTGGAAACACGTTTGTCCTTTTAAAGCAGGTATTTCAGCAGTGTGTTACAACTGGCTCTTTCTGAGATGTGTGCTTCACTCTGGAGTGGCAGGAAACCAAAAAATAATTTATTCTCAGGTCTGTTACTGAATTCCAGTGAAATTCCACCACATAATTTGAATGATTGATAAAAAGGCAGTAAAGCTTTGTTTACATTACAGTGGTAGTGAAAATGCAGAGCTGCACTGACATTCTGCCACCAGCTCTGTTTGTTCTCTGGTTGGACTTTGCTGCCCAGCACAGCCCCTGGCACTGTGAAACTTTATTTTAAGAGTTGTGAAAGCTGCTGGTAGCATTAGCTGGCTGAAGTCAGGTTTGTGTTTAGCTGCCCAGAACTCCTTCCTGCAGGGCTGCACTTCCTTTCTGGGGAGCAGCCGGAGATCAGCTGGGTTTTACAGTGTGCAGGGAGCACGGTGTGTGGTTTTCCTGGCTGCTCCTGTGCTGGGGAGGGCAGGGCACAGCACCAGAGGAGGCTCTGTGGGCCCAGGAGCGTTGCAGGGATGGCACTGACAGTCCCAGGGCCGTGCTGGTGGCAGGTTCTCCTGGGGCACTCTGAGCTCTGGTCCTGCTGTCCCCGTGGGGCTGTGCAGTGACAGCCCTGTGCATTGAGCAATCCCTCACACCCGAGTGGGGAGGGATCTTTGCACTGTGGTGCAACAGCTCTGCCCTGCTCTCCATGCCAGGGGCTCCTGGGCTTTTGTTGGGATCTCCATTGGTTTCTGTCATGGGGGCTCGGGGCAGTCATTAAAACAATGAGAGTGATGGGCAGGGGAGCCCAGGTGGCTCCTGTGAACGTGATTTCCCCGGAAATTCTGCATCTGCCTTGCTGATCATTCCCCTTGTGCAGTCCTGCTCTGCCCTGGGCTGTTGGAATGGGAGTTCTGCTGATGAAGCACCTTGTTAGATTTTATTGTTCTGGCACGGAGCTGACAGACCTGCCTGGTTCTCTTACTGCTTTCTGAAGAGATTTTACTTTTTTCTAGATTCATCTAATTAGCGAGTTAATTTAAATAACAAAGCACTTTGCAAGGCCAGGGGGAAGAGTCTTCAGTGTAATAAAAAAGCCTCAGACCTTCACTCCAACCCTTCCAGTGTACTCTGAGGCAGAGCAGCAAGGGGCAGCTCACTGGGGTGGGCCTTGGCCCTGAAGGATCAGAAGTGGAGCAGAATTCCTGTCCTTGCTGACTCTTTATTGTAAAGTGGATAAAAGTGATACCAGGTGCTCTGAATGTGCAGGTGAAGTTCTTATTTTAAAAAATCAATTGTGTCCTCTCCATTATACACGTGTGTGTTTCCTGGTAACGTTCCTGCACGTTGGGAGCTTTCACACCGTGAAAGAGGGTAAGGTCAGCATTGCAGGGAGCTCCTGCATCCAGAGAGGCACATTGAGGGGAGAAGGAGATGGTGCTCCCCTGCCCACCTGGCTCAGATGCACAGGCTGTCACAGCAGCTGGGTCCCCGCCCTTCCCTGGTACACCTGGATGGGGACACAGCTCCCAACAGAGGCTCAGGTTCCTCCTCAGTTCCTCCAAATCAGCCCTGAGGCTCCTCCTTCAGGTAACACCTTTGTGCAGATGAGTTCCACCTGTGAAACTCTTGCTGTGGGGGAAAGGGTTTTAATGATGCATTTAAGAATTCATTATGTTAATACAGGTACAGTGAAAGAGTCTGGTGAGAAACATAAGGGATCTGTTGAAATTCCTAACCTGTCAGAAGAAAATGAGGTAGATGATACAGAGGTAGGTGTGCAACACTGCTATGGCTCTATAGCTCCACAGTTCTTAAATGAAGTTTAGGCATCATATTTTGATGTATCCTGTTATTAAGTGGGGTAATTGCTATGTGGATAGTTTATTTCATGCTTTTGTTTATTATACTTGGAATAATGCTTTATTCTGTCCTCAAATTAACCAATGAGGAATGTGCAGTTTGCTTTGCTAATTAATGTTTGTGATAATATTTTAACTACAAATTGGAGAAGAACTCTGCTTGTAGTCTTAAAAAAAAACCCAAACCAACACAGCAAACCACTCCCAGCCCTAAGACCTCAGGGGATCTCTGTGTTGGGTGGATAATGTTGGATACTGGGCTCCCACAGATCCTTCAGCCTCTGCTGAGAAGCAGCTCTTGGCTGAACTAGACTGAATGGAGATACTACATTTATGTATGTCTTAAGAGGACTTACTATTAGCAAAGGTTGGCTCCCCCAAGATCATGAATTGGAAATTGCAGCTGTCCTCTGAGCATAGTAAACAATGCCCAAACATTTTCCTTTGCTGCCACATCCCAGAGGCTCATGGCTGGGGTCTCATAAATGCTGTCATTTTTCTGTTCTAGATAAATGTTAGCAAGAAGAAAGGGGAAGGTGATGTGCTGAAGGAGCTGATGAGAACTGAAGGAACCACCAAAGTCAGAGAGGCCCTGAGGGACTACCTGAAAGCACTTAAAACAGGTAAATGGAGCCAGGTGCATTAATCAGCACCTTGGGAGAGTTCTGTGCAGGTGCCTCTCCTGAACAGCTTGGTCAGATAGTGACAAACCCCTGGGATTGTACTGGTGTGATCATTGATAAACCCCTGGTTTGTACTGGTGTGATCATTGATAAACCCCTGGGTTCTGCAGTGACTGAGGCTGTTGCCAGGGCTCAGCTTGGCCCTACTTGGACTGGCCAATATTAGGGTTTCTTTTTGTTGCCTGATTTTGAAAAACTGCCTTCCTTGCCTGATCTGCTGCCTTATTTTTGTGTCCTTTTGTTTTATATAGAATTTCTGAAATGCTGTCTTTATTTTTGTTCTTCAAAAATTCATTCTCTGCTCATCTTTAAGTTTGCCATTATCATTTGAGATTGTGAAGTTCTATTATCCTAAATTTACTAAATTCATAAATTTTCACTTGTTCTTCTGAACCAAAGGTGAATCAAATTTAAATTTTCCTTTTTATTTTTTTTTTTGAACTGTGCTACTTTGTGAATGACAGCTGTTTCCAAGAACCAGGAACGTTTGCTCCAAAAACTGATGCATTTACAGCTTGTAGTCAAATTGTGATCAGGTACATCTCTGATTGTGAAATATTTTGTTAAATTATTACCTCTTTGTTAAATGCTGTGTCATTTTCCCAAGTTGGATGCACCAGTTTTTGGCTTGAGAAATTACTGTGTATGATTTTTAGGGTATCCAAAGATTCTTTAACTCTGGGAGCTCAAAGGGCAGCCTTTGGCAGGGTTGGCTCCATTCTGTGCTGAGTTTCCCTCCAGCCTTCTGCCAAACTTAGAAGAATTTCTTTGGTGTTATTTCTCTTTGATCTGAGCATCTGTCTGTGCAGGTGTTTCTGATTTGGGGTCAGGTAACTTGGAAAAGCCTTTTGAAGGGGAATTGCTGTTAGGTCTGTTCCTGATGGAAGCATAAGAGTAAACTGGGAAAGCGGATTGAGTTTTATGTCCTGCTCAGTTTTACCCATTCTCCAGGGTTGTGGTGATCTTCAGTGAGTGTCTGAATGTCAGGGGGGTTGAAGAGCTCGGTTTCACACTGACAAGTGCTTTTCTTCATTGCAGAGTTCACCTTGGGAATGATCCTGCCCACAAAAGCCGCTGTAGGTCAGGAGCTGGCCATGGAGCGCAAAGCAGGCGGGAGCCCTGTGCAGGTGTGTTGGCTTCGGGCTTTCCCTCTGAGTTCAGTGGCTGCTGAGGAAATGCAGAAATGCAGTGTGCAGTTGCTGTGTGCTTGAGAAGCTGCAGGTGACAGCCCCCTTGTCCTGCCAGCACTTGGAAGGGTCAGGATCTCACACGAATTCCTGGGAATGCTTTTTTGCTTTGCAGGACTCTGTTACACCACAGGCTCTGGATATGGTGGGAGTAAAAATTCCAACGGTGAGGATACACATGAGGGAAGTCTTCAACTCTCCAGCTGATAAACTGTACAGCATCTTCACAAAGAAGGAAGTGAGTGATAGTTTTAGGAGCAATTTTAACTGAATGTGGCTGTTGGTGCTGCGGAAGGGTTGTGTAAATAATAAACACAGCACAGTGTCAAGTACAAATTCCATTTGATGAGAGATTATTAGGCTGCCTTAGAACTTTTTTTGCCAGGTGTTCCCTTAACAAAGTGAGGCTGCATTGTTGTGGTGTTTGGGTGCAGCTTCCTTGTGCTGTCCTTAACAAAAGCTTTGCTCTTTGATGTTGGAGTTGCTGAGGAGCCTGAAGGGCTCAGTAATGGCACTGCTGCTACCCACAGCTTAATTAGATTAATTACTGGAGGTGATGATACTGTTGTTTATAGGGTATGAAACACAGAATCTCTAATTTAGGGTTTGTGTCCTTTAAAGGAGTCTGGGCTGGGGTTGGAGAACTTTAAATTACCACCCCAGGGCCACCTCTGGGAACAGAAATGGCTCTGATTCCTGCAGCTCCCCTCCCTTGTCTCCCAGCCTGGTGCATTTTGTGTTTTTCTTTTTTTTTTTTCTTTAGTTGGTACAGAAATTCTCCAAGTGCCCAGCTGTGATTGAAGCAGAGAAAGGAGGCAAACTCCAGATGTTTGAGGGCTGTGTCAGTGGTGAATACACAGAACTGGTAAAATGCTCCTACTCTACTTTAAAAAGGGAGGGGAAGGGAGGGTGGCTCCTTCTCTGAGCTAAAAAGCAGAGTAAGTTTGTGAATTTCAGCTTCTCTTGTGAGTATTTCAGTTCCTCTATTTGAAAGCCAAACAGTTGGGTCTTTTGTTGTGTGGGATTGACCACACCTAAGGACCTGCACAGGGAGCAGAAAACCTAGCACAATTCTCTGTAACTGAGAGGAGGAAGGTTTAAGGTTTATCAACCAAATCCCAGTTTTTAACTGGGGAAATGATCTCTCTTCTATTCAGGGCAAGTGCTACCCTGTCCCAGCTGAATGCTGGTGCAAGTAGAAGGGAAAAACCTGATAATTAGAGCTCAGCTACATTTCTGAAATGTCCTAAAAACCATTTCCATCTGCAGGAGTGCCCGACTTGTGTATTGGGCCAGGCTGGGTTGTGTAACACAATCTCTCAGTCACACTTGGAAATTTCAGTGGGGAAAGCTGGGCTTATCTTGTTTCCTGCAAGAAAATCAGTGTTTTATGTGCAGGACCCAGTGAGTCCTGGTCTTTTTCCACAGCAAAAACACAACAGTGGAATGCAGCACACTGAGAGCTCCATGAAAACATTTTTTTTATTTCAAAACCCAGACCCCAATCCTGCTCTTGTTTACATGCATGTGTCCAGAATGCCACAAGCTGCTCCTCTCCCTGTGTTTCAGGGAGAACAGGAATGGGAATTCTCTCAGGTGCTAACAAGAGCCTCCTTCTGTTCCCCAGGTGCCAAGCCAAAGGCTGGTCCTGAAGTGGCGGTGTAGGAGCTGGCCTGAGGGTGAGTTTGCCGAGGTCTCTGCTCCTGTGCAGGGAGGAGAACCGGCCTGGAGGGACCAGCCCGGGCTGGACATCCCTTGGGCCCTGCCCTTGGGAAAAAGGCAGAGCAGAGAGGGAACCAGCAGTAACAAATGGCAAATTTTGCTTTATAAAGCTGCTCACTGAAGGCTCCTGTTGTCTCTCCTCAGAACATTATGCAACTGTGGCCTTGACCTTCCAGGACCTGGCGGCTCAGTCGGAGCTGGAGCTGGAGTGCAAAGGGGTTCCTGTCTCCCACGAAGAGAGTACAAGACAATGCTGGAAGAAGCAATATTTTGAAGAAATACATCTTTTACTGCAGCAATCAAAAGACAGCATGGAATGATAACAGCACTGTAGTTTTGTTAGGGCATTACTTTTTATACTTTGTTAACATTTGGTTTTCTAAAAAAAGAAAAAATATAATTTATTTGTGGGAAGAATAAAGACCCACTTCTATGAGACTGTACATAGTTTAAGCACTATTTATGGGTTTTTAGGGAATGAGAGGCAAGTCAGACTGTGTACATCCACAGCTTTACCTGGGGACAGTGATCTCTGTTCTGCTTGCTTGGAACTTGAGAGTGACAATGATCCACTTGCACTGAGCCCTGCCTTCAGAGGCAGGAGAGATACACCATCAGTAGAAGCATTTCCAGTTCCTTACTGTTCAGTGTATCAAGTGGCAGAATGAAATCCCTGGAGGAGACGGAGTTCCCAGCAGAGGTGAGCTGCAAGGGATTACAAAACTGCTGATCCATTTCAACAATTGGGGGTGTCATTTACAGCCTCTGTGGAATACTTGCTAGGTGCTTTTAACTGCAGACTGTTTGCAGCTGCAGTGTTAGGGAAGATAATTAACAATGTCATGTAATTATTAGGCCTGCATGCACTGTACTCCCTCCCTTGACCTCGGTGTGACATTTATTTAGGAAGAAACAAACAGTAGTAGTGCTTTCTTTCTGCAGTTCTGTAAAACCTAAAACCTTCCACTGAAATGATTCACAGCCCTCTGCAATGCTGTACCTCAAAGACAACAAGTGTAAAGAGAATTTTGACAGGAACAGATTGTAATTCCTAATACAACCATCTCGAGGTGAGCAAGGATGACTTAGGTCTCAGATGCTTTATAAATAAAGTGTACAAATGAAATATGCAATCTGAAACAATCTGACCACAACAGGGCAGGCTGCTTTTGGAAAACATGCTTGGCTCAATAAAAATATGACTTTACATCAAGCTGATTTTCTCCATAAACTCATACTGCCACACTAAGTTTGTTAGCAGTTAAGTGCTGTATATTTTATTGTTACAGAATGCCAACACATGGCAACCTTACCACCCAAAAAGCTCCCATGATCCTGAGGAGACAGAGGTGAGGCTCAGGGCACTCCCCGGGGCTCTGTTTAAGTGGCCACGTGCTGGGTGGGGAGCAGCCTCCTGAGAAATGTTCTGTTTTAGCATCTGTTTCTGAATGATCAAAATTCAGTTTCTTTTCCCCCCCTCAATATTCAAGGAAGAAACTTGCCTTGAATACAAAAATGGTTCAGGGTAGAGGTTGACAAAGGGAAATGAAGGTCTGAGACAGTTCAGGCTTCAGCAGGTTTATGGGTAGATGGTTGAAGAGATACTGCAATATTTAATCCTTGAGAGGAGATGGTTCTGTGCATTTCCAAGATCCTTCAGCCAGTGAAACTGCAGCCCCAGTGCTCTCAGGGGATTGTGCCTCCTCATGACTGAAATCCCCGGGTTTTCCTGTCCCCCTGCCCTCACTGGTGCTAAAAAACACAGGACCTACTTGTGCTCCCAGTGTTGCAGTCCCTGCTCCAGGTGTGAGGCTGCCAAACCCCTGGAAAACGAGGAGGAGCTGCTCCATTCCCCTCTAAAACTGGGGCTAAAATTTCTCCTGGAATTCCCAGTTAAGTATCTTAGATGATAATTCTCTGAGAAAGGCAAAGAGAAAAACAGTACAATGGCAAAGACATGGTTTGTAAGATCATGGCCAAACCTCCTCAGAGATCTCAGCATTCAAGTGCCACAGGAGAGGCTGCCTGTGCATGGAGCAGCTGTTTAAAAGCTTCATTTTGAAGGGGTTAAATGGGAGGTAGGAATAAGTAAAAATAAATGGGAAATGGGATAAAACCTGGAAGAAAATCAAAGCATTTACGAGACTGAGGAAGCCAGTGGAAGATAAAAGGGTTTAGGATTAAAGGGCTATCAAAGGTGGGATAAGGGAACATTTTTAAAGGCAGAAAAATACAAACCAGAAAACTGATTTAAAGTGAGAGACAGAAGATAATGGAAAT